GGGATTGGCACTATGCTTCCCCAACGGGGGGATATAGCCCCCAGCCCCCTCTGGCGCCATCACTGGGGCTCCCCCTGCGCACCGCCTAGATACGCCACTGTTCCACAGTAGCAAAAGTTCCGAGTTGAGTTCCCTAAGGCAGGGGCGGATCTAGGTTCACATTTAGGGGGTGATCAGACTTTTTTCCATAAAAACGCCAAAAAAAGTGGGGGTGGTTCGGGGGGTCCTCCCCTGTGAAAATTTTGATTCTTAGATGGCGGGAAATGAGCTTCCCAGACATTTGAGGTGTCTTTTAATGACTTTTAAGTTCTTCAAAATTCGAGGTTTTCCCCCTCTGGAAAATGGTCAGGTAAAATTTCTCATTCTTATTTCTATATATATATAGCCTGTTTATGTGTGTATACATACTTTTAAAAAATTTAGTTGCTTACATATTCTTTTTTCCATGAATGGATAACCCCAAAGAGGAAGGAGGGAAAAATTTGATCACTAGATGGCAGGAAATGAGCTTTCCCGAGGTGTCATTTAATGACTTTTAAGTTGTTTAAATTTTAAGGTTTATTCTCCGCTTGAAAACGGTCAGGTAAACTTTTCATTCTTATTACTGTAAATACTAGTAGCCCTACTATGTGTGTATGTACAGTACATAACAAAAATTGAGTCGCTGCATACATGTTCTTTTTTCAATAAATGGATGAACACCAAATAAAACAGGGGTCGGGGTCCTCCCCGGGAAAATTCTGGTTCTTAGCTGGCGAGAAATGAGTTTTCCCGACTTCTGAAGTGTCTTTCAATCAAAATTCAAGGTTTTCCCCTTTTGTAAACGGTCAGGTAATTTTTTTCTCATTCTTATTACAGTAAATAGGCCTATGTGTGTACCGGTACACAGAGAATTTTCTTTTTTTTTTCTTTTTCCAAGGTGGGGGGAGTCAGGACCCCCTTGAGGTCAAAAAACTTTTTTTTTTTTTTTTTTATCAACCATATAGTTGTTAGAATAGTCTTTTGAGAGATTTTTCCAGAAAAAGAGTACATGTGATACAACCATCCGTTATACAGTTAGGAATTTTCAGATATTAAACATAAGCTTTAAGGCTAAATTAAGCTTTGAGGCTAAATTCTAATTGTCCTCATATGAGGACAATTAGAATTTAGCCTCAAAGCTTATCTTATTTCTGTTGGTTATTTACCCCTGACTTGGGTAGTTTGTCATCATTTCAAGATGTCTACCGATTCCTGAAAATATTGGTAGGAAAAATAACACAAAATTTATCCGTTGTTCAACTTTCGAGTTGATTTTCTCTTAATTACGTTTTTAGACATCTGAACTTTAAAACGATCTTACTCTGGTTTTACTCAACCTAGGAACATAATTCAAAGACCAAAATACAGCTTATATTGTCATCTACCTAAATATATCAATAACTCATTTCTTCGTTTTTCATACTACAAGACTCATTTTGTCACGACAGCTCACAATTTATAGTTATATAATGTTCCATACACCATATTTTGTGGAATTATTTTATATTGTAATAAATCATAGAAATTGTACAGCTCCCGAAGAAGCTATATTTGCAAAAAGCCTGTGAGTTTTTCGAAAATTAATTTTTATCACATTACCAGCCTGTGATGGGCCATAGACACAGGCTTAAGCCTGTTTTTGCAGATATTATGGCCTGACCCCAGATAGCACAAACTTCCATCAATGATAAAAGAATATATGCATAGCATTCCTACTATAGAACTGAATTTAAAATTAATAAAATTTGAAATACCTGGAAGGTTAAACGTACTAGAAACTAGGTGACTGCACTCGCTGAAAATTTGGCACTCCTTTGATAGTGGGAAATTTCCCCACTGACTCATAGACAAGTTTCTAAATAAAAAACGCTGTCAAACAAATTTTTGTTATTAGTTTTGTTATTTAAGTTTTTATATCGATTTGATTGTTCCCATATGTATTCCTGTTTTATGACTGTTTTTATTGTGCTTTTAATTTTTATTATATAGTACTATAATATTGAATTTGAAAGTTTTATATCTATATTTTATTTGATATATCTGTATCAAAGTCGTAAAAATTTTGTATGTCTACCCCCATATAAAATCATTACTATTATAAACAACACCCAGACACCATCTAAGTTCAGTGTAGTTATTATTAAAATTTCACAGAATTTGAACCCATAAATAGTGGCGACGCCAGGGGCCTTAATTCTTCCCCCCCTCCCCCGTCGGACAGAGCTTATCGGGCAGTCAGACCATAAAAAATACATAAATAGGCCCACACAAAGCCAACACGTCTGTCATAGTCTAGGGTTTCTATTCTTTAAAAAAATCTCATTTGGGAGAGGGAACCCTCTTTCAACCCCTGCCCCCAGCTTGGGCTAAGGATCTCAAGTTGGACAGCTTAGCCCCCCTCCCCAGAAAATATATCCTAGAGCAGCCACTGCCCATGAATAGAGCTGTACTCCAAAGAATACTAAAACGACCACAATGTTAATTTTATTTTTAAAAATAATAATTATTTTATTATTTTATTTTTTAAAATTTTATTTATTTATTTTTTAATTTTTAATTTTTATTTTTTTAAATTAATTTTATAATTGATTGATGTTAATATAATAAGAACATTTACAAAAGATCTATATTAATTCTTATTGAAAGAGCATTTAAACTATTACTTATATAACACAATTTTTGTCCATTATATACTTAGAATTCCTATTATAGGGACACCTTCGTGAACAAAAACGTGTCCCCTTTTAGGGGTGTCCCCTGAATAGGGGTTGGGCATATTGTTGAAAGATATACTTTCCCCTGTTTAGTTGCTGAAAAGTGTCACCTTAAAAGGGTGTTCCCTTAATAGAGGTGTCCCAAAGAAGTGGTTCTACTGTATTTACATAGTTCATATTACCGTGTCATACAAGTGAAGTGTTTTCACTCTACTATATCTCAGTGTTCTTCTGAAGCCGTTTTAGCCGTCAATTTTACCGGTAATAAAATAATTGCCCAACCAGTAAAAATTTTGAGATTGTAAAATAATAAAATCACTGATTAGGCATAGGTAGTTAGGCTGGCCTTCATTCCGGTCTACACCTAGGCTATGACTATGTGTTGTTTTTTCAAGTCATTAAACCCCACTCACCAGTAAAAATGTTTCAATTGGGAGAATAGACGTGTATCTATCTTTTTGCAATCACTATTTTAGACTGCTATTAAGACTTTTATTTACTTGTCTTTGTGATATAAACCTGTTTTTACACCATACCATTCTATTCTAGCTTTCATTATATATAAAACAAAGTGCAATTTTTATATTTAATTTGCATTGTAAAACTCCTTTAAATGTTGTAGTTTTCTGTTTATATTACAGCTGATATTATAGATGTACATTGCGTAAATATTTAATCTATTTTTATTACTACTAATTGTTATATTATTAATCCATATTTTTCTAAATATTTGTAAAAAAGTGTAAATACATATCAAAAATATATAAGAAAGAGTGTTTACAGAGTATGAAAGGAAGATGAAGAGGAAGATAAAAAATAGTTAATGGTAGAGCTTATTTGTGCATTTGAATGACATTCAATAATCGTAAGGCAAGACTTTTTTTATTCCTTGTTTCACATACTTAATAAGATCATCAGGAGGGCAATTTTGTTTTCTTATTTAACAAATAGTTTTGCCAAAAACACCAGATGGAGGAGAAAATAAAAGTAAAATTTTATAAGTGAATGTAAAATGGGATGGTTAAATGTTTCAAATTTATATAATTAGGAAACATGATGAATAAAAAGTATAGCCACGTTTAGTCTGTACATTATAGAACAATATAAAGTAAATAACAGCAGCATTTTTGAGACTAACAATATAGAATTTATTCTCTAGCTTTCGTCCACACAGTGGACTTCATCAGGACACTTATGAAGTCCACTGTGTGGACGAAATCTAGAGAATAAATTCTATATTATGAAGTCCACTGTGTGGACGAAAGCTAGAGAATAAATTCTATATTGTTAATCTCAAAAGCTGTTATTTACTTTATAATTAGGAAGAAATATACATATCTCTGGAGATTTCAAGGCAGTGGAGCGCTTAATAAAAATAAAGAAAAACTTTTTTTTTCTGAAATTTTTTGGCTAATTGGCCAAAAATAAAACTTTTATTTTATTCAAAATCATCAATATTTGCGTTCAGCAGGTTTCGCTAAAGAATAAAAAAGTCTCGACTAATCTCTCTGTGGTCTTTAAGAGATGACAGCAATCTCCGATGGAATTTCTAAACCATCGTGGTCATGATCTATTTGTTTAACGAAGAAACCATTTTTATAAAATAATTGTAGTTTATGATTACTTGATTCTACTGTTTCCATCAATGGCTGTACCATTAGGAGCTGAAACTTTAGCATCTTCCTCACCATTGCCTTTTTTGAATATTAGCAGTAAAAGCATCAATATATTTTCAAATAATTTATAAAATAAATGAATTACAGTAAATGCCCTTCAACTTTTAACAAACTTGTGAAAACAGACAAATCTTGAATCTTACTGTATTAATAATATCGGTCAATGAACAAACATGAAAGAAATAGTATTTCATAGCATACAGTATAGTAGATATCAGAGTTTGTATGGTCATTAGAAAGTATTTGAATTTGAGAATCAATTTCAAGGCCCTTGAAAGGTTCTTGAAATTGACGTTAGTGCTTGAAAAGGCGTTGAACGCAGAATTTTCAATTTTACATTTTTGAATTGACTTTGTATTAACAATGTATGAAATTTATTCACACATTCTTCATTGTCACGATGCAAAATGCTGGTCGATTGTTGTAAACAGGCCGCGCCTAATAAAATCTTCCGTCCAGTTTTTTTTTTGGGTCGTGCACAAACATGTGCTCGGTTGTGATGACATCAGATCACCCATAGTTGCATAGTGCGACAGTAATAAGCTCATAAAGTGTAATCATAAAGTTTTAATTAAACAGATCCAGCGATCAAACATAAATTGTTAATAGTTAAGACCCGGTTAAAATAGTATCATATCTCTAATTTTGGATGTATTTGATACAAATTGTGTATATAATTCTTGTATATAATTATTGACATATGAAATACAAAAAATATGTTAATGAGAAAAAAATTAAAATGCATTATGTACTATTGTACATTGTTTATGATCCTAGAAACTTGTAATCAACAACAGTTTTTGAGGTAGGGGGTAACTTTCTGCTCATAACTCTGTTGACCTCTAGAAAAATTCAATTTCTTCCCAAAATCATGGCAGATATACTTTATGACAATATATTACGTGTGGAACTGGATAAAGACAACTTGGTTTCTTGCTTTAAATAAAGTATCCATTCGTAGAAGTCTTATTAAGATAAGCCTATCCAAGTGAACATAAAAGGGTCGGGGACCAGGACATACATTCGACTTTAGGTTTGTTTTGCGTCTTTCTACAGAGGTCAATGACCTTTTAACTTTTAGATACGTCAATTTCTGCACACATTTTCAATTTCAATGGCTGAAAAATCTACAGGCTACATGTTAATACCAACATCATGCAAATCCATCCAATAAATCATGAGTTATGAACCTAAATATTAACCCTTGCCCCAAACATCACCATTGATTACAAAAATAATCAACAATGACAGTAGTACATTTAATCAATTTATACATTTTTTATACTCCATATGAATATTTATAATAGAAAATACTAATTGGTATCAAATCTACTGACCACTATATATTTTTAAGCATTTGTGAATGAATTGGGAATAAATTTACGACTTTTCTGTGGAGGTCAATGACTTTTGACCTCTAGTTACGTCAATTTCTGCCTATTTCAAAACTTTTTGAATGGCTGACCAATCTATAGGCTAAATGTTGATACCAAATCCATTGAATATTATGAGCATAGATGTTACCCCTACCCCAAAAACTGTTGCTGATTACAAATTTCTAGGATCATAAACAATGTACAATAGTACATTATGCATTTTCATTTTTTTTCTTGTTAACATCAATTTTTGTATTCCATATACTTGTAGAAAAACACAATTTGTATCAAATAAATCCAAAATTAGAGATAGGACACTGAAGTTTATTGGTATTTTATGCAAAAATTTGCATTTTAGAAAAAGGTCAATGATCATTTGACCTCTAGTGACATTAATAATTGTCAGATTTAGTTTTATTTAAACTGCATATGATTAAGAAACATATATGCTACACATTGCTACCAAAAAATGTTGATGAGCTTTTAAATTCACAGGTTAGGCCATAAATGTTACCCCTCCCCACCCCCAAAAAAAAGTATTGACCATAAAACTCTAACGACCATTACAAATGACATGATATGGATAGAATTAGGTACAAAAGACTGTCTAAACCTCTTAGTTTTCGTAGTGGATGTGTATTATCTTTCATTATATCTTTAACTTTTTAATAATTTCATTAAAAGTGAAATCCAGATTCATCATATTATCATGAATACTTGAATTTGCTCTTTTGTTTATTCTCTATGCGCATTTTGTCTTTCTGGGTCATATTTCCAAAGATACAAACAATGCAATACATCATAACACTCATAATCACAGAGTTATAGAATATTCTTTAATATAGTTTTATCGTACATATACTGTATTTCATTTTATGCAGAATCCCCTTTGTTAAGTTTATTATTAAAAAGGCAACCTATGTATTTATATTCTGTGACCACAGCAATTTCTGGTTTTTTAATGATTACATTCTCAACATTATTACATATTTTTCCTAAAATCTATTATCATTTCTTATAGTCTTATATGGTTAAATTTTATTCTTTACATATTTCCCCCATAATTATATTAGCTACATGTTTTGTGAAGTTTCTTAAGTCTAAAGAATGAGTGAGGCTATGCATTGGTGATTTACACTTATGAATCTAATGACGTCTAAATCCAAATTAAACGTCTACTGAAAAGAGACACCCGTTGTAGAAACTTGCTTTGAGTTCTGTATTTTATCAGGTTGATTCTAATCAATTTTTAAGGATTAAGGCAAGAATGTACTTTCAATGGAAGGCGTAACTTTCACTTTATCTAACACTAGGCGTGTTCAGACGTGGGAACACTGAAGATAGATAGGATAGCCAGCCAATGTAGATAGAGAATATTTGTTATCGAGTCCCAAATTTTATACAGCAGCACCTAGAGTTGACGCAACTGACGTTTTCTAGGCCTTTTTAGGCATGTGACCAATAGCCTTTGTGGTACTGCAGTACGTCGTGGGAATGACTTTTGTTGTCAGTGCCTTTTGACATGCACATACCATTTTTATACGCTTTGTGGTACCGCAGTGTATCTGGTAGGTATTGTATAGGTTGAAATCACAAAAAGCCAGCATTGTTTTTTACAATGTAAAATGTCCTTGAAAAATCAGATCTATGTCCTTGGAAAGTCCTTAAAACGTTCTTGATTTTTTTTTGCCAAAAATGTGTACGAACACTGATATATATGTTTTTTTAAAACCTCAATGACTTTAAGGCATAGTTTTGAAAGTACAGTTGCCGTCTTCAGTGAATTGATGCAATCCTATTTGTTTTAAAATAAAGTGAACAAGTGTGATAAATTGTGTTGCTTATAACGAGGAATAGAACTATTACAACTATTACACAAAAAAAATAAGCGGCATATTTGGAAATAGGAGATTAATCAATTGAACCAAAGCTGTTAAAGATGTATTATCCCATGAAAATTACCAAAAATAAAATAAATCTTTTTCAAATTGACTTTCTCATTTTGAAGTAACATAAACATTTAATGTTTAAATTGAACATAGTATATATAAATAATGTTTAAACGTAACTTTACAGTCACTTGAAGTGTTTTTATTATGTTTATCACTATCCTACAAAAATCAGGGTACACATTTTTGAAATTCAATAATTTCTATTTTTGATAATGTCTATATTACTAACATGGGCAAATTAATTTCAAAATTATTTTTTTATGATTTGTTTTGTCATTTTCAGGAGACAATACATCTTTAAGGAGAAGGAATGGCAAGAATAAAGATATTGGGAACATTTTAAGCAACTGTTTTTTTTTTTTTTTAAGGACTCCTTCGGTGTAACATACTGTAGTTACATTGCACAGTACAAGAGCTCAAAAAAGCTAATGTAATATAAATTTCAAAGCTAGTAATAAAATGTTTTAACATTGTTGGCTCCGTGGTTTGCTACTACTACTCTGCTTGGGCTCCCAGGAATTATAGTTACTCCATATGGGATCTTTATTTCATCATCTTCATGATCTATTCGTTTTATGAAGACACCATTTTTATCAAATAACTGTAATTTGTTAGAACTTGATACTACTATATTTTCAGACTTATCCATGGTTAGACCACAAGGACTAAAAACTTTACCATTTTTTTTACCATGGCCTATAATGGTTTTCATCCATTTCCCATTTGCATCAAACATTTGCACTCTGTTATTTCCAAAGTCAGCAACAATTACATAGTTTTCCTTAGTTAAAGTGACATCTGTTGGATTCCGTAAATTACCTTCTTTGCTATTCTCTGAACCTATTTTGCTCATCAGTTTACCGTTTTCAATATTGAATTTAAGTACACAATGTGCTTTATAATCTGCTACATAAAGAGCACTATTTTCCATGTTTACTGCTAAGCCACATGGATCTTTCAATAGCCCTTTGCCAAATAAGTGATGAATTTCTTGAAATTGATCATCACACATTACAACACATTTCCCTAAGAAATCACTATATAACATATGACCATCACCCAATTGATACATACTATTGACCATCACATTTTGTGGCACCTGTATCCTAGCAACAAATTTACCTGACTGGTTGAATTTCAATATATCTTTACTAAAGCTTGATACAAGTATGCAGCCATCTCTATCTAACAATACATCTGTCACTTCCCGTGTTTTGTTATGTTCCTTATACCTTGATATATTACAAGTGGTTTTTACAAGTCCCATCTTTTTGAGTGTTTTCGCCTGAGTGCCACCAGTGACTGTTTGATATTCCACATTGCATCGACCTGTTAATTTGTACTCTCCATCACCCTGATTTTCTACCTTTGTGGCTGATTCTTCACATGATGTGTTCTTCAGGGCGGCAGCCAATAGATTTGCATCACTCTCTTCAGGACCTGATACTTCCACTACAAGTGGTTGTCCTTTTGTAATAGCAATTCCCTCACTACTTTTAGTAACCTTGCATGTCATGCTATCAACAGTTGAGACTCTACCAATGCCCTCTTTTTGCAATCCTTTGATGTGTGCAGATGGAATGAAATTTGGTTTGACACTACTTTTACTAATAAAGGAACTATTAAAATCTCCAAGGAAGTCATTTCTGACAGTGTTGACAGTTGCCCAATATGATCCAAGAGATTCCTGTTCTTCTGGTTTGTTAATCATTGCTTTTATTATCATTGTATTGATTGATTTCTTCAGATTATGTACTTCAGTCAGCTTCGAATCAATATCTTTGATTTGACAATGAATTTCTTCTTTGCTTTCTTTGTAAACCTCTTCAAGATCTGATACTAATTCCTTGCTTTTCTCTTGAACCGTCTTGATCAGATTCTTCTCATGATTTTCAATGTCTTTTCTGCATAATTTGAATTGTGAATCAAATTCTGATTTATATTTAGCAATGGATTGGAGCTTTTGTGTTAATTTATTTTCAAGTTCATATGCTAACTTGACAACATCAGTGGCATCTTTGTTAAACTGATCTCTAGCCGTTGACATTGTAATCACTCTGTGTTGCTGTTTACATATTGTGCATGCTGATTTGTTGCAAGTGGAGCAATAAAATTCCAGTGTGGTGTTTTTGTTAGCCAGGCATTTGGTTTCTATATCTGAGCTGCCATCTTCTTTCTTCATGTCTAGTGTGTAAAGTGGATGATCCTTAGTTAAACGTAGTGCTTTGTGTTGTTTGACACATTGAGCTCCACATAGATACAGCTGACATGTTGAGCAGTGGTATGCTGGTTGGTTGTCACAGAAAGAGCATTTAGCAGGTTTTTGATCCTCAGTTTTCACTACATACCGTAGATGTTCACTTGTATTAGAAGGAAGTTGCTTGATGTCTTCCTTTGTTAGATCATGTTCTTGTCCACATGTTGGACATTTAATCTTTCCATGAGCTTCCACCCATTTCTTAATACACTGTAGACAATAGGTGTGCATGCATTTCAATGTCTTTGGTTGTTGAAACCTGCCGAGGCAGATGGCACATTCAAGATCTTTTTTATCCATAAGTTGTAATGCCTTGGATGCAGACATCTGTTAAAAAAATGAGAGATATATTTAGCATACCATATTTATTTGAATGAATGCCTGGGGGTTTATATTTGAGAAGGGTTTGTGAATGGGCGGAATTTATTTGAGGGAGGTGTGTTTTTTTTTTGTTTTTTTTTGTGTAAAATGAATCTGTATATACTCAAATAAATGCCCCTTAATTTCACAGTAAATGTGGAACTATAACACATTTTGACTGCCAAATTCTGTTATTGCGTGTGATCAACTAGGCTTATTGGTCTCGCAAGGTTAGAAAAAATATAATTATACCAAGGCTAGAATATGTTGAGTATGACGTTCCTTCAATTATATATTTTTAGTTCTTGTTGTCCATGACATGGTAGATTGTTGGGGAGTATATGATAACGAAGAATTGGACTGTTATGTTGCCTCAACAAACACCTATAGTACAGTATTACAAACAAATGCCCCCAAAACAGTTATTTGCACAGCAGGCCGTGTGTCCCAAGGGTATAATAAAAAAAATGGTTATTCGCATGGCCTGCCGTGCAAGTGACTCCAAAACGGTTATTCGCATGACCGGCCCTTTTGAATAACTCCAAAACGGGTATTTGTATGGCAGGCTGTGCGAATAACTCCAAAACGGTTATTCACATGGCCATCTGTGCGAGTAACTCCAAAACGGTTTCTCACGGCAAGGTGTATATTTATATGTAATTATATATCATGGGGTACAAAATTCCAATTCAAAGCATCCCCAATCATATTATTTCTGGTCTTTGTAGCTAATATACATCTCCAAAATGGGATAAACATCAATTAAATTCATGTGATGGGAATGAACAGTGTAGCTGTAAAGTTAGTTATTATGTTTGGCTTGACAAGTGATAAGCTAGTTATAGACATTTCTGTTTTTTGTGAATACCTAGTCAACGTGGGAACATTGTTCTTGATTAAGTGTAAGAGTAGATTTGAGTCAAATTATTGTAGATAAGTAAAGTGAATGGATAGTGCTGCAAATAATTGATGGTAGTGTACCTGTAGGTTATTTCAAAGTTTGACAGAACAATACTTTAAAAGTTTTCCATTTTGGCAAGACCAAAGTGTTTTTAGATTTGCTTCTTGTATTTATGTTGCGGTGCAACATGGACTTGACGACTTACTAGTAAAATATTTTACTATCTACAGTAGTAAAACTTTACTTAAAATGGATACACTAAAGATAATAGGTGTGCTTCAGTGTCTTTGGTTGGTGAAACCTGTAGACAGATGGCACACATTAGATCTGTTTTTTTATCCATAAACTGATAATGCCTTGGATATACTAATGAGGTACAAAACTATACCTCCATGGATAGAGATACCTGTTATTAGACAACATAGTTATATTATGCTTTTCCTGAAAACGGTAACACATCTTACTTTTGATAAAGTCAACCATTCATTAATTAATCATCTTTTGTCTTACAAATACCAAAGAATTCACTAATTATTCACAAATACAATATAATTTTGGTGACTCCGAAGAATGAAAAAGCTGAGGCCATAATTGATGCTGCATTTTGTTTTTTATTAGAACACCATCAAGAATTAATAGAGTGACAATAAAACTACAAGAAATCAAAAATCAAAACAAAAACCTTAAATTCTGACCAATCAAAAAAAGGTAGACTGGTCTATAATAATGATAATAATAATAATCTTTATTTTTTTTTACAAATATTTTATAAATTTATTGTTTAAGATTTTCTTGGGAACAAATTAATAAATTATGTATTTTTACAGTGATTTTAATTACAGTTTTGCAGCTTCCTCAATTCCTAGTTTTAAAGAACAGTTTTTTTAATGAATATTTATATTTTTGTTTATTGAAGGCCTAATTACACTTGATATGATATTAATAATATATAAATTTAATAAATTTCAATTTTCTGTAAATTATCTAAATTAAACAAGATGGTGTTGTCAAAAATCAATTAGTGTATAAATAATTGATTTACATACAGAAGGTAATATTTTATTTATTGTTTTATAAATAATAATGTTTGTGTCAAATTGTTTGATTTGTTAAAATTATAGTTTATCTTTTATTTTACATGTAGTGTCTCACATCTTTGTTTCTGGATCTTAGTACTTGGTACTTGGTTTACTCCCTTGTGAATCTTTCACGAGGTAAACTGACTCTTATTATAAGTTAGTGGTGACTTGCATGGAATTTTCACATCCCCGACTGATCACTATTATATCGATCATGGAGGTAGTAAACTGGAGAAACAACACTGTTGATTATCTGCTGATAAGGCAATACTACAAAGAGTTCTGACGCGATATTACTGTCTATTGATGTTCGATCATTCCAACCCCCGAGCGTGCACAGAACTAGATTTGTTGGGGCATCAACTGGAAAAAGACAGATAAAACTGTTGATCTTTTTACATCATGCACAGTATCTCAGTTTATGCATTTCTTAGTAATGAAAACATTGATAGCAAGCGCAATTTACTGTTGAAAGAGTTATTGAAAACCGCATTTAAACCTAATTATTCAGTCAATTTTTACGTACATTCAACGTAAAAGGTATGTTTTATTGTTTCTAGAGAATATTTTTTGTTTAAAACGATATTTATTGGATTTCTCATTCGTTCTCACAAATGGAACCTGTCTTGTTCGACAGAATAGACATTGTTTTAAATTACTTTGTCGATGTGAACTGTGCCTAATTTTGCCTATTTTTGTTATTTTCCTTCAAAATACATTAATTTTGCCGATTTCGCTGTCAATGATGTCACTTACTTTAATAACGTATGGCTGGGCTATACTAGGCCTACCAGGTAGGGCGTGGCCTAGTTCACTCATACTAGTAGTAGGCCCCCTAATTGCGGGGTGGGGGGAGTGGTAGGGGGAGAGAGATTTGGTGTATTTTATTATGTAGTTTATGTGTTGATAGCTACCCCAACCAGGCCTAATAAAATGAACATTTTTTTTAACTTCTTCATGTAGATATGGAATGGTATATATTATTTTTAAATTCAGTAATAATAATTATTTACTTTTTTCTTTTGAATGATAGAAATAATGTTATGTTGATTTGTGTTTGAGCTGCTCGTCATAGTGGTAACTGTACAATGCTATTAGAAACCAGAGCAACCAACACTACTGTCTGACGATGATACCTTTGCCGAAAGAAAACATGGAACGATCGTCGAGGCAAATACAGTTTGGAACAGAATGCAGAAGTTTGTTTCAAATGTAGATTTAATGATCAATAAACATATTTAGAAAAAATGCAGCAGCATATCAAAATGAAATTAAACATTGTATAAATATTATCTTGATTGTTCATTATAAGCTTCTGTTTTAAGTAAAGCAATAAACAGCATCTGTACAACATAAATAAATTCAGTATAAAATCACATAGTATTTAATCTCATAGTAGCTGTTCATTGTGAATCTCCATGTTGAAAATAAAAGATATTTGTTGTAACAGCAGCAACTAAAAAAAAAAATTAGTATTACTATGGAGAATTTTGCTGATCTCAATGTTTGGGGGCTATCTTTTGGAGCATTAGCTACCAGTGGCAAAACGCCGAGTCTCAAATTTCCAATTAATTTGGTATAGTTACCGGCATTCCAACCAACATTATTCAACATCAAATATGTACACAGCACAAACCCTCCAAGGAATCCACATGTTTTCCTATTACCAAGCATCGCACACACTGCATGTTCATACAAAATTGATACCCACTATGTGTCGCATGACCAAAGATTCTTATCAGCACAGATGGAATGATCGTCAAAGAACTGAATTCAAGTTGTTTCTCCAGTTTATTATAATACTTCTATGTATTGATATAGATTTTTTGTGTCTCGTGTGCAAAAAGCTCAAAGCTGAGGGTGATTTTACTACAGTACATGGAATATTTCGTTGCAGAATGCACACAGCGAACCTAACAATCTCTCTCTGCCAGTGGTGTAATTAGGTTGTGAGGGGCCCTGGTTGAAGAGTACAGTCGGGACCCTTGAGGCTTTCAAATTGACTAGCCATGTCAACTATATGTACCATTGATGTGGTTAAGAACAGCGATCCCTCCATTTTTTATACTATTTTGACAATAAATGTTTCAATTTTTTTAATTTCTAATTTTTAGATGTTCTCAGAGGGCATTTTGGAAGAGCCAGCTATTGGCTGGACTGACCATAATAATAAGTATTTTTACTTATGACAAAAAATTCAATATATTGGTGTATTTTATTTATCGGATTAACCATTGACCAATGTCAACAATTATCTTGTATATATTAGTTTTATATACTTAAGCTAAATAAAATTAAAAGGATCACACCTGGCATCATTGCAAAGAGCTGTGAAGAGCTGTGCGAAGAGTGTCAGTCAGTGCATGTACTACTAACAAATCATTCTAATACGCACAGCAATGCACACACACTAATCACTAAGCAACAGGCGACTGTTTTGTTTGTTTATGTTTATTCAAACATTCAGACATTAAATTTGTTAAACAGTAGTTTGGAAGAAGAGAAATCCAACTTGAATCATCCATGCATGATTTGTGAGCAACTGAGTCACTAGAAACATATTATAGTCTTGTTACAAGCAGAACACACCATGAAAGTATACGGAATGTATATATAAAAAAGAAAAAACAAATATACAAACATACTTTACCATATGTTTTTTGTTTTTTACAAAATAAATGAGTTGCAGTAGCTATAAGGAACAGTGCATACTAAATTTAATATAATAAAGGTTTATATATAGTGAATGAAAAGCAAAATGCTTAACAGTACAATATAGAATATCTTTGGTTTTTTTTATGTTAGACGTATCATGACTTCCTTAACTCTTCTTAAATTCGTATGGGATTCCATTTGAATTCCTCCATTTTCCTGCTGTGAAGGTAAGTTTAGTGCCATTATCATACAAATTCTTAACTGCGGCTTTCCATTTATTTTTTTCTGTGTGATCAGCTAGTAAGATCATCTATTATGTATGTAGATTTGGTCTTTAAAGCGTCATTTCGTTGTTTCGTAACATTGACTTTGGTGACGTATGAGAGAAATCGCACAAGCATGTGTCAGGGTCTACTGTTCACACCTTTGCCATCACGATAGACATGCTAAATTATTGGGGTGGACAAGAGATTAAACTTTTCAGAGATAATTTTCTGAATAATCAACTTACAGTTCTCCATCAGACTTTCGTCAATTCCTACTATTCAAAAGTTATTGCATCGGGAGAATCGCTCCAACCTGTAGAATTTCTAAACGTAATTGGGCAGTTGAGATTTGCAAGTTAGACACAGTCGTTTTTCTGCTTTAAATTGAGCAAAATGTCCTTTTTCATTGTCGTTTTTGGTATAACATCGATACAGGCAGAGTTGTGTTCAATAGCTTTACTGAGATCAGCTTTAATGGCTTCTTGGCCTTTTATGAGCGATTCCAACGATCCCTTCACAAAAGTTTCAAAGTTGACAGAAACTGAGCTTTTCTCCTGTGTACCTCTCTTAGACGGCATTGCACAGGCAGCAGTAAAAATTTTGCATAGAAATATTTTGAACAATGCGTTTAAAGGGCTCGTTCACGCATGTCTTACTCCTATGGCTTCATTGATTTGAACTGTAACCAGCAGTTTAATTTATGAATATACAGCAACTTCTCTACAACCTGCCAGTTTGATTAAATTGTCATAAAAAAAGTGATGGATGTCACAACTGACATATAAAGCAATTATATTCAAGTAATTTGTTCATTATAGGAAATGGAAGCCCTAGGAGCTATTACTTCCTTCAAACTTTTCAGGAAATAATGGCTTCTTTGGCTTCTATTTCCTATAGTGTACTAAAAACCTGACCTGAAACCTAATTGGTTATTATTATCTACTGTACTTGATATACTGTACTGAGGCTAAAACCACAATTGTCTCTGTATATTTATTACTGTTTATATATACTATAAATCTTACTTTATGAACATTTAATTTCTTACCTTGATTCAAATATTGACTGGTAGAAGGGAAAATTTTGGTACCTACAGTTGTTTTTTACTACTGGTTATTCGAATTTATGATCTACTTCCTTTGTGTAGCTGGTCCAATAGTATGTTTTATATGGAGCTATGTTTTATTTATGGCTATTCTCGAGTCTATACTGTTAAAAGGAATTTGGTCTTTACTACGTGGAAATTGTTTTGTTACTGTTCATTATGCCGTTATAATACAGTCAATATTTGTTATCAACAAGGTATGTTCATTGAATGCGTGGGTGAGTTTAATACATTATAAAACAATAACAAGCTGTATTATCCTTTCTCTGTATGACATCTAGTGAATATCTAAATCAATGGGTAATTTAGGTGCATTTTAAAACCTGCTGTTTTCCACTACTTGAAAACACAAATTACTTAAATTTGGTGAGTGCTAGCAAAATTCTGTAATATGCATTTAATTTCCTTCGTAATTGGTCATACACAAATGGAGGCGTTAGCCGACTAGATGTCCCCTATCCCTGCTGGCGCCACCACTGACACATCTGCTGTCTCTAGCATATAGACCTATGAAATAACACTAAACAACATAAAATGATATTAATGCCTCAGTGTTGTTGAAAATAAATATTACTGTATTAAGCAATCAATCCTTGTATGCATAATTGATTATTGTACCAATAATTCCCACAATAAGTACAAAAACATTAAACAAATTTTAATTTGTTTGTTTTGTTTGTTTGTGGGGCAATTAAAATTTTCCCCACAGTATTAACATCAGGGGCATACCGTGGTGCGGTCGACCCCCCTTTTTAAAGAAAATGCCCTTTAAATATGCTCGCTTAACTCACAAATAACGCACCCCGCGAATTCTGAAAGCTTCGCTAAATTGCTCCGAGTTCAGCTTTCCCCCTGCGCTTTCGTTTCGACCCCCCCTTATATTTTTCACCGTACGCCCCTGCACATGTGGTAGCTGTGTCACCAGTTAATCATTTTAATACCAATTTGTATTCACTATCAACTGAACATGTCCCAACTACTGTAACAAACACAATTAATTTAACTCTTATTATTTTTACCTCATGAGAAGAGTATATAGGCCTTGTTAGTGCTATGTAAATCTAACATTTTATATTATTATTACAAAAGTTGCATCATGCATATGCATTAGTCTGACTACTTAAGTATGTTGTGAGAGCTTTTTTTTCTGTACATTTCATTCTTTTTATCTGCTATCTCTATTATTCTTTATTTTTAACCATCACTGTTTCAACTTAATTTTTAACTTTTTACAAAAAAACATCAAGAAAATGCAAGAATTCAGCTATAATACAGAATTTTTTGTCTTTTTTTTTAGGATATCACAGTATTTGTCATACAAGTGACTTATTTTACTCTACTGCATGTCTTCATTAAATACAATCACTATAAAGACTACTGTCATATTATGAATTCTACTTAAGATAATATCTTTGTGATATAACTTGTCTATACAACATAATATTCTATTCATATATACCACTATATATGAAACAAAATGCAATTTTAATATTTGATTTGCAAACCTTTAAGAAGAGTATGAACCAGGTGTGAAAAGAAGGTGAAGATAAAGATGAACAAAATGTAATGGTAGAGCTTACTAGTGAATGTCTTCTATAAAAGGACTTCATCAGTATAACATAGTCACATTGTACATTCTCTCAAAAAAGCTAATGTACTATCAATTTCAAAGTCATTAGTAATAAAATATTTTAACATTGTTGGCTCCATGGTTTGCTACTACTACTTTTCTTGGGCTTTTAGGAATTATAGTTACTCCATATGGGAACTTTAATCCATCATCTTCATGATCTATTCGTTTTATGAAGACACCATTTTTATCAAATAATTGTAATTTGTTATTACTTGATATGATTATATTTTCATTCATATCCATGGTTAAACCACAAGGACTCAAAATTTGACCATTTTTCTTACCACAGTCTGCAATGATTCTCATCCAATTACCATTTGCATCAAACATTTGTATTCTGTGATTACCATAGTCAGCAACAACTACATAGTTTTCCTTAGTTAAAGTGACATCTGTTGGTTTCTGTAAATGCCCTTCTTTGTTACCTTCTGACCCTAATTTGCTCATCAGTGTTCCATCATCAACATTAAATTTAAACACACAATGTGCTTTAAAGTCTGCTACATAAAGAGCACTATTTTCCATGTTTACTGCTAAGCCACATGGATCTTTCAATACCCCTTTGCCAAATAAGTGACGAATTTCTTTAAATTGATCATCACACATTACAACACATTTTTTGGAGAAATCACTATACAAAATATGACCATCACCCAATTGATACATACTATTGACCTTCACATCTTGTGCCACCTGTATCTTAGCAACAAATGAACCTTGCTGGTTGAATTTCAATATATCTTTACTAAGGCTTGATACAAGTATGCAGCCATCTCTGTCTAACAACACATCTGTCACTTCCCGTGTTTTGTTATGTTCTTTATACTTTGATATATTACAAGTGGTTTTGACAAGTCCCATCTTTTTGAGTGTTTTCACCTGAGTACTTACAGGAGATCCTTTGGCGTGTGCAGTGCCACCAGTGACCGTTTGCCATTCACCTTTCACATTGCCTTGATCTCTTATTTTGTACTCTCCACCAACCTGATATTCTACCTTTGTGGCTGATTCTTCATCTGATGAGTTCTTCAGGGTGGCAGCCAATTGATGTGCATCACTATCTTCTGAATCTGATACTTTCACTACAAATGATTGTCCTTTTGTGACAGCAATTTCTTCATGACCTTTAGCAAACTTACATGTCATTCTATTAACAGTTGAGACTCTATCTTTTGAGATAGCAATTTCCTCACAACTTTTAGCAACCTTACATGTCATTCTATTAACAGTTGAGACTCTACCAATGCCCTCTTTAGTGAACACTTTGATGCATGTAGATGGAATGAAATTTGGTGTAACACTACTTTTACTAAAGGTAAAGGAACTATTAAAATCTTCTTGAAGGAAGTCATCTCTAACCGTTTTGACATTTGCCCAGTATGATCCAAGAGAATCTTGTTCTTCTGGTTTGTTAATTGTTGCTTTTATTAACATTGTATTGATGGATGCCTTCAGATTATTTACTTCAGTCAGCTTTGAATCAATATCTTCGATTTGGTAATCAATCTCTTCTTTGCTTTCTCTGTATATCTCTTCAAGATCTGATACTAATTCTTTGCTTTTTTCTTGAACTGTCTTAATCAGATTCTTCTCATGATTTTCAATGTCTTTTCTGCATAATTTGAATTGTGAATCAAATTCTGATTTATATTTAGCAATGAATTGTAGCTTTTCTGTTAATTTAATTTCAATTTCATGCGCCTGCTTGACAACATCAGTGACATCTTTGTTAAACTGATCTCTAGCAGTTGACATTGTAATCACTTTGTGTTGCTGTTTACATTTTGTGCATGCTGATTTGTTGCAAGTAGAGCAGTAAAATTCCAGTGTGGTGTTTCTGTCAGCTGGGCATTTGGTTTCATTTTCCGAGCTGCCATCTTGTTCCTTCATGTCTAATGTGTAAAGTGGATGGTCCTTGGTTGAAGGCAGTGCCTTGTGTTGTTTGATACAGTTGCCGTCACACAGATACAGTTGACATATGGAGCAGTGGTATGATGGTTGGTTGTCACAGAAACAGCATTTAGTTGGTTTTTGATCCTCAGTTTTCACTACGTAATGTAGAAGGTCACTTATCAATGTATTAGAGGGAAGCTTGTTTAAGTCTTGTTTTGTTAGATCATGTTCTTGTCCACATGTTGGGCATTTAATCTTTCCATGGGCTTCCACACATTTCTTGATACACTGTTGACAATAGGTGTGCATGCATTTCAGTGTCTTTGGTTGGTGAAACCTGCTGAGGCAGATGGCACACTCAAGATCTTTTTTATCAATAAATTGTAATGCCTTAGATATAGACATCTGTTAAAAAATGAGAGATATGCTTAGTACACAATATTTATTTGAATAAACTCCCCGGGGATTTATTGTTGAGAACTGTTTTTGAAGGGGCATTTATTCGAGGGACACATTTATTCGAGGGAGGCATTTATTTTTGTTGGTGTAAAATGAATCTGTATAATTCTAAAGTAAATGCCTCTTAATTTCAATGTAAATGTGGACCTATAACAAATTTACAGTCAAAATGTGTGTTATTGCGTTATCATAAATGCTTATCAGGGGCGGATCCAGAGATGTCCAAAAGGGGGGGCCGAAAGGGGGCCCGAAATTTGGGCCGATCGAGACAACAATGACCTAGGGGGTCCAGGGGCATGCCCCCGCGAAATTTTTGTGTTCTAGACGCCTGAAAATAACATTTGAGCCGTTGTGGGCTATCATTTTTTTCTTTTTCTTTCTTTTTTTCTTTTTTTTTCTTTTTTTTACCTCCCAAAAGTGGGGGCCGGGGCCGGGCCGGCCCCCCCCTAAATCCGCCCCTGCTTATTAATCTAGGCAAGGTTAGAAAAAATGTAATTGTAATCTTAATAGAATGATGTTGCTTCCATTATATATTTCTAGTTCTAGTTATCACATGACTTGGTAGATCATAGGTGCGTATATGATGAGGAAAAATTATCAGATCTCTCCATGCCTGTCGGTCCCTGACTATATCCAGTTTGATGTCTCAGCCCTCACGTAAGTTTTGGGAGTCTCATGAAAATATACAGCATTTGCTATTTTACCAGATAATCACGATTTGAAAGATTGTCTTTGAAGTCTAAGCAGAGGTGGAAATATTGTTTAAAATCAGGTGCCTAAATTAATAATTAGCTTTAATTCATAATTTGTCTTACTGTCTTTCTCGAAAAATTAGTCTTTTTTCGTTGGTTTATATTTCAATTTAATATTTGCTTTAATCTTTTGTTAATACATAACAAGTTCTTACCTTGAATTTGAAATGTAGAAGTGAAATTGTACCTGTTGCTACCTGTTGATTAGTTGAATGTGGGGGTTTTTGGTATGTCCAGATTAATTATGAAATGGCGTTTGATTGGCCTATCATGAAGTACAAAAGTCCAATTCAAAGCATCGACAATCATATATTATTTCTGGTCTTTGTGGCTGATACACATCTCTTCTAAAAAGGGATAAACATCAATTAAAATCATGTGATGAGAAAATCCAGTGTAGCTGTAAGTTAGCTATTATTTGTTGTTTGCTTGACAAGTGATAAGCTATTTTCTTTCCTTTTTTGTGGATACCCAGCCAATGTGGGTACATTGTTCTTAACCTTTAATTACAAATGCAAAACAAAATTAAATGAAAATAAATGTTTTGAAGAATTAAGTATAAGAACAGATTTAAATCAGATTTTTGAAAGATTAAAGTGAATATTAATATAGTGCTGCAAATATCTGATGGTACTGTAGTGCAACACAGACTTGACTTAATAGTAAAATAGTTCACAATGTAAAGTAGTAATAATAAATAAATAATTCTGGATTTATATAGCGCCTCACGTTGACACAACCTCGAGGTGCTTAACAACAACAGAGAGGAATAAAAATTAAGTTCAAATGATCCATAGTAAAACTTATGGATACAATATATAGACAATAGATGTGCATACATTTTAGTGCCTTTGGTTGGTGAAACCTGTATAGGCAAATGGCACGCACAAGTTGTTGTTTCTCCATAAACTGTACAATGCCTTTTATACCATTGCGGTATACAAAATTGTACCGCCATGGATATACAGATATTTGTTATGCGACAAAACAGTTTACATAGTGTATTATACTCGAAGATTTGTCCAATTTGCAAAAAACAATAAAAAATTTGAATAGAAAATGTTCATTATCTAACAACAGCCAGGGTAGTGACAAAACGAATCCCATGTGCAGATATTATCAGGGAGAAAATTTGATTTCAATTTAGTATTATAAAATTCAAACACTTTGTTTTTGAAAGATGAAAAAGAAGAATCTGATCGAATTGCAAGGGAGATTGTTCCAGATAGGCACTATTTGTTGAAAATAAAAAGATTTATGTGATATGTTTTGCAGCGATGAATAGATAACATGAGCAAATCAGAAAAATGTCTGGTGGTAGGATGGCCCTGTGAGGAATTAAAATGCACATACTCATCAATAGAAATATCAAATTCCAAAAAAAAACTTTTATGAAAAATAAAGAGATTACCTTTTTTATAGCCCTTTTTGCTTTTCAAAATCTGCTCAAACTCTGACAAAACCATTCCTCTATCCCAATCCACTTAATAGTTTGCATCAAACAGTTTTTGGAAAAATTATCAGATCTCTCCATGCCTGTCGGTCCCTGACTATATCCAGTTTGATGTCTCAGCCCTCACGTAAGTTTTGGGAGTCTCATGAAAATATACAGCATTTGCTATTTTACCAGATAATCACGATTTGAAAGATTGTCTTTGAAGTCTAAGCAGAGGTGGAAATATTGTTTAAAATCAGGTGCCTAAATTAATAATTAGCTTTAATTCATAATTTGTCTTACTGTCTTTCTCGAAAAATTAGTCTTTTTTCGTTGGTTTATATTTCAATTTAATATTTGCTTTAATCTTTTGTTAATACATAACAAGTTCTTACCTTGAATTTGAAATGTAGAAGTGAAATTGTACCTGTTGCTACCTGTTGATTAGTTGAATGTGGGGGTTTTTGGTATATCCAGATTAATTATGAAATGGCGTTTGATTGGCCTATCATGAAGTACAAAAGTCCAATTCAAAGCATCGACAATCATATATTATTTCTGGTCTTTGTGGCTGATACACATCTCTTCTAAAAAGGGATAAACATCAATTAAAATCATGTGATGAGAAAATCCAGTGTAGCTATAAGTAAGCTATTATTTGTTGTTGGCTTGACAAGTGATAAGCTAGTTTCTTTCCTTTTTTTGTGGATACCCAGCCAATGTGGGTACATTGTTCTTAACCTTTAATTACAAATGCAAAACAAAATTAAATGAAAATAAATGTTTTGAAGAATTAAGTATAAGAATAGATTTAAATCAGATTTTTGAAAGATTAAAGTGAATATTAATATAGTGCTGCAAATATCTGATAGTACTGTAGTGCAACACAGACTTGACTTAATAGTAAAATAGTTCACAATGTAAAGTAGTAATAATAAATAATTCTGGATTTATATAGCGCCTCACGTTGACACAACCTCGAGGTGCTTAACAACAACAGAGAAGAATAAAAATTAAGTTCAAATGATCCATAGTAAAACTTATGGATACAATATATAGACAATAGATGTGCATACATTTTAGTGCCTTTGGTTGGTGAAACCTGTGTAGGCAAATGGCACTCACAAGTTGTTGTTTCTCCATAAACTGTACAATGCCTTTATATACCATTGAGGTATACAAAATTGTACCGCCATGGATATACAGATATTTGTTATGCGACAAAACAGTTTACATATGTATTATACTTGAAGATTTGTCCAATTTGCAAAAAACAATAACAAATTTGAATAGAAAATGTTCATTATCTAACAACAGCCAGGGTAGTGACATAACGAATCCCATGTGCAGATATTATCAGGGAGAAAATTTGATTTCAATTTAGTATTATAAAATTCAAACACTTTGTTTTTGAAAGATGAAAAAGAAGAATCAAATTGCAAGGGAGATTGTTCCAGATAGGCACTATTTGTTGAAAATAAAAAGATTTATGTGATATGTTTTGCAGCGATGAATAGATAACATGAGCGAATCAGAAAAATGTCTGGTGGTAGGATGGCCCTGTGAGGAATTAAAATGCACATACTCATCAATAGAAATATCAAATTCCAAAAAAAACTTTTATGAAAAATAAAGAGATTACCTTTTTTATAGCCCTTTTAGCTTTTCAAAATCTCAAACTCTGACAAAACCATTCCTCTATCCCAATCCACTTAATAGTTTGCATCAACAATTCTTTTAATGGTTTATATTTCTCTTTTAATGTTCCCTTCAATCAATGGTTAATCCTTACCTTGATTTTTCCACTGGTAAATTGGACGATGTACTTGTTGTTACCTGTGGTCAGTTGAATGTGTTGTTTTTCTGATGTTACAAATATTATTATATAATTTTTGAATTTTATTTTTATTAAGTCATGAGGAAGTCCAGAGCTGTATTGATTCTCAGTCATATTTCATGTTTGTTCTGATCTGAGCAGAGATGATAACCTTTCTCTATGAAATAAACATCAGTTGAAACAATATGGTGGAAAAACCAGTGAACTGAACTAAATTGTTCATTTATTCAATAGAGGAAGTAAAGTATTACATGTTTTTTCAATTACAAAACAATTACAAGACATTATAATACAGAAACCTGAAAGCTAACAAATATCTAAACAATAAAAAAAATGAGAGGAAACATTTGTTTTAAGGGATGTCAGAAAGATCAGACGTGTCCTCAATAAACATCATTTAGCTTGGTTACTACAAACTACTCAAAAAGCTTAGACGAAAACCCAAAAAATGAAATTAATAAAGAAGATGTTTGTGGAGCTACAGTGTTTTTCAAGTTGGGTGCAGTAACTGTGATGCTACAGTAAGCATACTTGGGGCCGGAGATAGGCAGGCCTTTAAAGGTAAGATTAGACGAACATAAAACAGATGTCTGCATCAAAACTTCCTCGGGTGGAGTACGTACTAGAGCTACTGTACACGTGCCTCAACCTTTGATACCAATGGCCATCACAGACCTACAGTCTGCTTAAACCACACTGGAATAATATCAAGTTACTGGGCAAAGAATATGAAATGAAAAACAAGGAATATAGTGAAGCTATGAATAAGATGCAACAATAACAGAGACGAAGGAGCTACAAACTGTCCCATGTCTACAATGACCTGCTACACCAACCTCCAAGCCCAGGAGGCTCGAGGAGAAACGGGTTGATGTTGCAGAGGGCACTCGTCATTCAGCTGAAGGTGGTTGGAGTTTGCGGACTGAAAGCTACTAGTGAGAAACAAAACTTATTTTTGGCTTTACATCAATAAAATTTGATACTATCTTAATATTATGTTTTGAAATAAATTCTTGGAGATTGTAAAATAACCTTTCAATTACATTAATTTCCATCGACATGACTGCATGATTGTATTATATATAAACCATAATTGNNNTTTTTTTACTTTTTTTTTACTTTTACCCTTTTATGTATTTTCTACATATTTAATATTTTTTCATTGTTACTTTTATATTTACTTTTAGAATTGTATCAAGCCCATGTTCAAATGTTTGAATTATGACAATAAAGTTTATCTTATCTTTCATTAACATTGATAAGTGTTTTTTACGTGGTTCCTGTATAGATAAACAGAAGCAATTTGAATTTGCAATTAGAATTATCTCCATGAACCTGAAGATTCACCTTTTAAACTCAATTGTATGTTAGTAATTGCAACATACAAATGTGAAACATAGGACATGACAAAGACTAAGAAAAGGGCAGCATGTGTAAATGCCCATAATATAAACACATATGGTGCTAAGGTACAGCACTACAGACTTCACCATTAGAAATCTAAGATGATTTTTGGCTAAATTAATGAGTGGAGGGCCTGGTCTGGAATTGAAAACAAAAATTGGTGGAACGACGGCATGAAAACTAAAGCCGGAAAAAGACTGCATTGTACGACCATCATCCGATAAATTCATCTTTGTGAGCACTTGATGCCACACCATCTGTTGATTGCCAGTAGCAGTCTGTAAAATCAATCTGTTGCCTTGTCCTTGTGGAAATCATGTTTAGTCGACAACCGTCAGTGCAGTGTATGCACATCATCTACCTATGTACGATTACTACCAGTATAATTTTAATTTAATTTGCTTACATCATACGACATGTTTTAAAGATTAAATTTCTAAATACTTGTATATATTCTTTTTTTCAAGAGAAACTAGTTTAAGTATAGCTTATTGGTTACCTCTGTTTTACAATGTGTTAGCTAGTCAGAAACCTGCATATAAAGATGTCTGACACTGATTTCAGGAGGTCAACTTGTACACTATTGTACAAAAATGAATGGTATTTGGTTTGAGATGTAAGGGTTGAATAACAAGTGCTGTGATAACCAATTTAAATGTAATTTAAATAGTCTAAGCAAGGAACTCTGGATCTGAATCAATACTGCCCCCTAAAAGGTGCCCCTAAAAGGAATAAAATGAGGAGGTAATGCTGTGAAGTGATTCTGAATAGTATTTCAGTAGTTAAATATTTTTACATTGTTTTTTCTGTGGTTTGCTACTGCAACTCTTCTTGGTCTAGTGGAGATTACAGCAATTCCTGCTGGAACATCTAATCCATCATCTTCATGATCTATTCGTTTTATGAAGACACCATCTTTATCAAATAATTGTAGTTTATGATTACTTGATACTATTATGTTTTCATCCATATCCATGGTTACACCACCTGGACCCAAAACTTTACCATCTTCCTCACCACATTCTAAAAGGATTCTCATAAACTTATCATCTGCATCAAACATTTGTATTATATTGCTTTCAAAGTCAGCAATAATCACATGACCTTCCTTAGTTAAAGTAACATCATTTGGTTGCTTTATATATTCACTACTTTTTGAATCTATCTTTCCCAGCAACCTACCATCATCTACATTGAATTTAAACACACAGTGAGCTTCGTGGTCTGCTACATACATGAATCTAGTTTCATTGTTTACTGTCAAGCCCATCGGGTGCTTCAGTAATTTGTTGTTAACTGAATGGATTTTTTGAAATTTATCATCACATATTACCATACGTTTTCTTAATTCATCACTATATATTGTTTGACCATCATCCATTTGATGCATTCTATTGACTTTCACATCTTTTGGCAACTGTATCCTAGCAACAAACGAACCAGATTGGTTGAACTTCAGTACATCTTTACTGTAGCTTGATACTAACATGCATCCATCTCTATCTAACATTACATCTGTCACTTTAGATTCCTTACTATGTTCTTTATAATCTGAAATGTTCTCAATGGTATGAACAAGTCCCAGTTTTTCCACCTTGACATTCACTGGAGATCCTTTGATGTGTGCAGATCCAAGTGTGATTTTCATTTGCCAATCACCTTCCACATGGCAGCTACCTGTTATTTTGTACTCTCCACCTTCCTGGTATTCTATCTCAGTTGGCGATTCTTCACCTGATGAGTTCAGTAGAGTGACAGCAAATTGGCAATTAGCATTCTGTGTCGGACTTAGTAATTTCACCACAAATTCTTGTCCTTTTGTGACAGTAATTACATCGTCACCTTCAGCAACCTTGTATGTGTTGCTATCAAAAGTTGTGATACTTCCTATCCCCTCTGTTTTCATCAACTCATCCAAGTGTTTAGATGGAGTGAAAAATGGTGTGAGATCTCTTGTACAAATAAATTTGTTTCCTTTTATCTTTTTTCTGACAGCATTGATAGATGCCCTATGAAGTGCAAGAGTTTCTGTTTGCTCCGGATTGTTCATAGCAGTAATTTCTGTCTTTAAATTCTGTACCTGGCTCTGTGTTGAATCAAGATGCTTCATTCGATTATCATTGTCTATTTTCATTTCATTGTATATTTTTTCCAGATCTGATATAAGTGCTCTTGCATGGTCTTTAATATTCTTGATAAGTCTCTGTTCTTGATTCTCAATAGCAATTTTGCATAATTTTAGATCATTTTCAAAATCTGAATTCTTCGTTGTGAAGATTTCTGTTAATTTGTTAACTGTATCATCAGCTGTCTGGATTAACTCAGTAGCATTTAGGTTAAATATTTCTAAAGCATTCTTCATTGATATCACTTCATGTTTCTTTTCATGACATTGTACAACATGTTGACAATTATTACATGCTGTTTTCTTGCAAGATGAGCAGAAGAATTCCAACATTTCATTGCTATGAATTGGACATTTAAGTTCTCCCTCTTTGCTGGTAGATATCTAACAAATAAAGAATTGTGTATTAGCATGATGTTCAATCTTTCACGTACAGTCCTATGCAAATTTGTGTAAGGGGATCTATGTTCTAATACCGCTTTTACCATTGAGTGTATTTTATTTTAAGTACCACAGTTCCTCAGGTATAAGACCTTGACCTCTACTTAATGCCCCATTTTACATGCCAGGTCCCGGGCAAAAGCCTAGAGTATGTTTATATTGTCTATTTTCCTTGTGTATTTTTTCAAAATTTTTGATAAGTAAAATGTCTTGCTTCTCAATATCATTTTTACATTAAAATATGATTTTAAAAATCTTATTTATTGTGATGGATCATATATTTCCTCCAATTTATTACATATATCATCAACTATTTTAATTACCTCTGTCGAATTTAGGTTAAACATAGTATCTGTAGCATTCGTCTTTGAAATCAATTTTGTTTCTCCCTCTTTGCTAGTAGACATCTATTAACAAATGAATAAAGAATGTTGATAGTGTATTGCTCCTTCTAATACTGTACAATGTTTCTAGCAATTCTGCATACTTTTAGATCATTTTCAATATTTGAATTATTCTTAGTGATGTAGTCATGTATTTCTTTCAGTTAATGACCTGTATCACCAGCTGTATTAATTACCTCAGTAGCAATTTGGTTAAACATTTTTAAGGGTGTGTTTCTACTGATAAACACAAAATAATCGATTTTTTAAACTGCTTTTTTAATGAGTACTAGACAGACTGCTCGCGTTGCAACTGCATTTTTGATTTTTCGAAAATCGGTTTTACGTAACGGAAATTACGTCACCACGTTGTTTTCCTAACTGTATAGGATAGTATCTTTCTCATTTCTGTCATGATGACGAGGAGTAAGATACAGTGTGGGGGCGAGAAGGCAAATGTTTTCGGCTGTGCTCATCGGCACAATGAACGAGCGACCAAACAATGACAACGGTAGGCCCAAAAGAGCCTAAGCCCAATATCCCCCACAAAATAATTACAATACGAATACGTCGCTCCACAAGTTTGTTGATGTTTTTAGCTTGTAGGCCTAGGACATGGACAAGAGGACAAATTCTTTTGAAAGTTCGCACCTAATACGATCTAATCTTTGCAGTGATTGACCTGGAGGTCACATTTCACCTGATAATCAATTTTTTGTGTTGCAGCTAAAAGGTTGACAAAAACTGTTGTAGGCCCATATATGTTGAGATGTGCCTATATATGGTCATGATGTGATGTTATCATGACCATAGTTAGGCATGGACAGGGCTTTAGACAGGCAGTGTTGGAAAATTGTCTTCTTTTTTTTTTGTCCATACTACAAATTATAAGACATGCTTTCACTTTATTGTGATAAAATTTGTATGATTCCCAGTTATAAACCCACTCTCCAATTTTGGCCCAATTTTGTGTTTAAGGGGATGCAGGCATATTCCAGAAGAATTACAGTATAAATATAATAACATTTAAAAATTATTTTAATAACCCAATACACAGTGTCTTTATAAAGGATGATTATTTTTCACAAGTCAATTAAATTTTTATTGCTACCATCTATTGTATAAAAACTCAAGTTCTCTTTAATCTTTAAGATTAGTTTTGAAGTGTGCACTCATAATCGTTACGAAAATTCTTTGTAAATGAATAGGCATTCTACCGGCTAAAAACCACTGCCTATTTAAAATATAATCATGAAGTTCTTACCTTGAACTTAACTGGTAGAAGCAAAGATAGTGTACCTGTTGCTGTCTGTGACTATTTGTATCTGACAGTGTTTACTAATATAGCAGGGTAATTTAATGTTAACTTTGTTTGAATTATATTATGAGGTATCAAAGATTTTTGATTGTTTTTTGCACAAGATTTCAATTCCTCTATACTATTAAGTTTTATGGGACAAATATTTGCCTATTTATATGGGGTGTTATATGGTGTCAAGTTGCAGTATAAAATATATTTATGAGACTTGTGGTTTGCATACAATGCCATAGCCAGGATTTTTCAAAACAGTGTGGGATAATTCCAAAGTGGACCTAATTCAAGAGTAGACCCATTTCCACTACCCTCAACTTTACAAATAAAGAATGGTGTGTTTAATTGCTCTTTAATACAAAATAATAATAATAATCTTGTTTAATCTTTATGCATCCTATGCAAATTGGCGTTTAATGGACATTTCCGCTAAGCCCTGGGCTGCCCCTTGAATTTTCTTATTAATTCCCAAAATACAGTGTTGTATAAAAGGATGATTTTTGTAAATTTTTTTATTTTATTACGAGGTATCAAAGTTTATTTGTTTTTTTCCACAAACAAGATTTCAATTCCTCTATACTATTAAGTTTTATGGGACAAATATTTGCCTATTTATATGGGGTGTTATATGGTGTCAAGTTGCAGTATAAAATATATTTATGAGACTTGTGGTTTGCATACAATGCCATAGCCAGGATTTTTCAAAACAGTGTGGGATAATTCAAAAGTGGACCTAATTCAAGAGTAGACCCATTTCCACCACCCTCAACTTTACAAATAAAGAATGGTGTGTTATTGCTCTTTAATACCAAATAATCTTGTTCAATCTTTATGCGTCCTATGCAAATTGGCTTGTGATGGACATTTCCGCTAAGCCCTGCTGGGCCGCTCTTTGGATTTTGTTGTTAATTCCCAAAATACAGTGTTGTATTAAAGGATGATTTTTGTAAATTTAATTTTTAATGTTATCATCTATAATAGGTCCATGATCAATTGTATAAAAGCTCAAATTCTCTTATCTTTAAGATTAATTTTGGAGTGTACCCTTACTATCATTACGAAAAAAAATTCTGTGTAAACAAATAGGCGTTCTACCAGCTAAAAACCACTGCCTATTTAAAATATAATGAAGTTCTTACCTTGAATTTAACTGGTAGAAGTGATAGTCTGTCTGCAATTAGTTGCATCTGATTGTTCCCTTATTGAGCAGGGTAATTTTATGGTAACTTTTTTTTATTTTATTACAAGGTATCAAAGTTTATTTGTTTTTTTCCACAAACTAGATTTCAATTCATGTTGCACCATTTTAATCTCTGTCCGTACTATATATTTTTATTTTACAAATATTTGCCCGTTTATATGGGTGTTATATAGTATCATGGCGAGGTATAAAATAATATATTTATGAGATTAAATAGTTTTGGATTGCATAGATTTATAAGTGTGATATAATACTAATGGAGGTTTTTATATTTCCTTGACATCATCTGGTTTAGACATAAGAGCAAATCACACAAAAAGATGTAATTATCAGCTAAGTTGTAAAGAGAAAAAAATAACACAACAAAAAGTAAGTACCCCAATATTCCTTTTTAAACAATGCACCCTAAACTTACTTTTTGTTAGGTTTTTTTTTTGGGGCAAATATTTGTCCCTTAAAACTTGGACAGAGCTTATATCTTGTGGAAAGAAAAAAAAAACAGGTTAACTAAATTTATCAGAGTTCTTTAATCTTGTATGGTAGGGATTGACGCTTTTTTTTCTTTCCTTCATTATGTAGTAAAATTGAAGTGAGGTTTTTAATCATCAAATGTAAACTGTGTCAATTGAAGTAGATCACCAAAACTTTTGTTCAGTTTAACAATTAAATACCAAATAAATTTAAAGTTATGTTCACACTACTAGAGCCTTAATATCCAGATTGGGAGCTAACTGTTAGCCCAAACTGCTAACACTTGTAAGAAAGTCCAATCAGGAAGTGGATACACTATTGGTAGTGAATGCTATTCGTTAGCAAGTTGACCTCATTTCTATCATTAACAAATTTAGACGTATGTATTTGCACCGTCATCTTCGATATATCCGGATCAGGTAGTTTCTTGCATGGTCGCAACGATGAGCATGTATGTTATTAATCTGGATCCTGCTAACTGTTAAATGGTGTGTGTTTAAAATGTAGCCAACATGAACTTAAAAATTCAAAACAAAAATATATCTTTATTGTCATTTCCTCAAGAGAACCTACATATACATCTTGCTCAACATATGGACCTATAGGAAAACACTGAAGTAAACAACTAGAGATGATATTAATGTCGCAGTGGTGTGAAAAACAATTAAACAACTAAAGATGATATTAATGCCGCAGTGGTGTGAAAAACAAATGTTACTGTATAATTGATTTGCTTTGATTATTGCACCAATATCTTCCAAAATAAAAGACAAAAACATTAAGCAAATTAATTGCCCTATTAATTAATTAATTAATTGCCCTATTAATTAATTAATTAATTGTTGTGTCACCAATAAGCACTAACATTATTATTCCTCACTATCAACTGTAACTTAGCATGTTGTAACTACAAACACAATTAATTTACTGTTATTATTTTTACCTCACCAACAAATACAGTTTGCAGCTAATTGAGATTATCTGTCATTATAATAATAATAATAGTAATAATAATAATATTTTTCCCTTATTTTCATAAACAATATTCTAAGACCCTTCATGCCCAAACAATGCAATTACTCCTTCCCCTTAAAACTTAAACATCAACAATAACATCAATGTCATTATAAATAACGAATGTTAAGTTTTTCGTTTAAATCACCCTAAGCTAAAATACAGTAGCAGTTTGATGCACCAGTTGCACTTCTGCTTCTGAACCTAGAGGTCAAAGGTTCAATTCTTCATTTTGAATTTCACAAATTTATAATTGATGTTCTTATACAGTAATAAGAACATTTACAATAGATCTACATTATTTCTTTCTTATTGAAAGAACATTTAAACCAATACATAATTTTTGTTCATACTGATAATAATAATAATATTTATTTGGACTTACACTTTTACACCAGTGGCACATCTTTGTAAAACAAAGGTGTGTCCAAAAACACAAAACCTAATGACAAATGATTACAAGACACATCAAATTAATAAAAGAATAACTAAAACTTAAATCCAAATATAATGCCTAAATTAATCCCTTTATCCCTCTCCTCCTTCCCTGAACATTTTTTTAAAATTTATTTTATTTATTTATTTAATTCTTCTTCCAACAGCGAAAAATCTCCACTTACAGGTGAGAACAAATTACCTAATAAAAACATATAAATTTATATTTTAAAAAATATACAAGTATAAGAGTACAATATAGAAGATAAAAAGGCTTTAAACAGATTTCAAATTTTACCCCTTCCCATTAAACAAACTGTACTTAAATTTACTCCTTATTTCCTTAAAACAATTCTAAATACTAAGTAATCTCCTTCACTCTTCTCTCTCAAAACATTGCAAGCATTTACCCCTTCTCCTTATATAAAGTTTGAACAAAGATGATAAGCGTGAAGTCTTGTCATACAAGTGGTGTACTTTATACTACTTCCATATTATATTTTTAACAGGTACGAATTATTATGTTAGTAAACATAGAGCTCATGTTTTTTTGGTGTAAAAATAATTAATTTAGATGTTCTTTAATAGGATGTGAAAAATTCTTACATACTAAGCGTTTAGACATTATGCAATTAATATTTGTAATTAGAAATCACAAACCGAAATGTCCACTGATTAATCTCAGATAAGAAAGTATAATACATACTCCAAGTATTGAAATACACGCCATCGTGTTGGGATTCAATATTTCGACATATGTCATCATCAGGAAATCACAAGCAGCATATATAGCAACAAAGTTATTGAAAATAAAAATATTTCTATTGAAGTAAAGTTCTCGTTGTTTAATGCTTATTATTTTTACATCAGCTTACTGTGGCTTTAACAAAAATCCAGAATAAAAAATATAAATACATATCAAAATATAAAAGAGTATTTACAGGGGAAAAAAAGAAAAGAAAAATGACGAAAAAGGTGAACATGAATATGAAAAATAGTTAATGGTCGAGCTTATAGTGCATCTGAATGCCATTCAATAATTGTATATTTTAACATTGTTTGGTCTGTTGTTCACTACAGCTAATCTCCTTGGTCGTTTGGAGATTACAGTAATCTCTGATGGGGTATCTAATCCATCATCTTTATGGTCTATTCGTTTTATGAAGACACCATTTTTATCAAATAATTGTAGTTTATGATTACTTGATACGATTATGTTTTCATCCATATCGATGGCTACACCATCAGGGGCTGAAACTTTACCATCTTCCTTACCATTGTATATAAGGATTTTTATCTTTATATTAAGTAAATCAAACAGTAGTATTCTGTTATTTTCATAGTCAGCAACAACCACATGACCTTCCTTAGTCAAAGTGATACCATGGGGCTTTATTTGACCAATATTACGTGAACATGTTATCTTACCCAGAAGCTCTCTGTCGTCGACCCTGTATTTAAACACACATTTAGCATTACGATCTGCCACATACATGACTCCATTTTCTTTGTTCACTGTCACACCCATTGGATATTCTAATTCATTCTTACCAAATGAGCAGATTGTTTGAAATTTATCATCACACATTACAACGCATTTTTCAGAGATATCACTATACACCATGCGACCATTCCCCATTTTGTGGATTCTGTTAACCTTCACATCATGTGGGACCTGTATGCCAGCAACAAATAAACCTGATTGGTTGAACTTCAATATATCTTTACTTAGGCTTGATACTAATATGTATCCATCTCTATCTAACATTACACCAGTTGCTTTTTTACTCTTATTATGTTCTTTATAATCTGAAATGTTACCAGTGGTATGAACAAGTCCCAATCTTTCTACCTTGATATTCACTGGTGATCCTTCGATGTGTGCAGATCCAACAGTAATCTTCATTTGCCAATCACCTTCCACATTGCATCTACCTGTTATTTTGTACCTTCCACTTTCCTGGTCTTCTAGTACCTCAGTTGTAATCTTTCTACCTGAGGAGCTCACTAGAGTAGCTGCTAATTGGCATGCATCACTCTCTGTTGGACTTGATACTTTTACTTCAAATGGTTCTGCTTTTGTGACTGTAATTGCTCTATCATCTTCAGCAACCTTGTACGTTATGCTATCAGTAGTTGTGATTTTACCGATGCCATCAGTATTCATCAACTCATCCAAGTGCGAAGATGGAAGAAAATGTGGTGAAACATTTCTTTTATGAAATGATTTATCAAAATTTGGTCCTAAAACATTATCTTTAAGAGCATCAATTTTTCTCAGATGAGATTCAAGAGTTTCCTTTTCTTCTGGCTTTCTCATTATTGCGTTAACTGTTGCCTTCAACTCTTTCACTTCTTCCAGCTTTGAATCAAGATCAGTCACATGAATATCATGGGCTTGTTTCTTTGCATTAGCAATCATTTCAAGATCTGACATCAATGCTTTGCTTTTCTCCCGAACCGTTCTGATAAGTTTTTCTTCTTGATTTGTAATAGTCCTTCTACATAAAGTTAGATCATTGGAAAAGCGGTTTTGGCCTTCCAAGATAAAATTAAATGTTCCTTCCAATTTGATGGTGATATCCTCAGCTATCTTAAGACCTTCGATAGCATTTTGGTTAATCTCCTCCAGGGTAGTCTGCCATTCAGACACATCATGCTTGTTTTTATAACATTGAATAATATCTTTACAATCGTTACATGCTGATTTCTTGCACGTTGAACAGTAAAATTCCAACCTGTTATGGTAATGAGTTGGGCATTTATTTTGTTCCTCTTGGCTGGCAGACATCTACAGTACAAATAAATATTGACCTTATTACACTTTGTAATTTTATATTATATTAATGTATTGTTAAAATGTTCAGTCTTCATATAGTTTTATGCAAATTGTTTTGTCAGCAATTTTTTCTGGTACATGGTAATGATAAAAAGATCTTAATGGCATCCATTTAAATGTGGTTTACTGGCTATTACTATACCTGTTTTAGCTTTATTTTTTTTTTAAATAGGACATAGACACAGAATTACCTTGTGTGTGACTACAATGATAATTGAAATCGGTATTAAAACAATTGACCTGAGGTTAATCAGTAACGTCAGACTAGCCTTTTTGTACATTATGCCAGCATTATGCCGTGTATCTCAACATATGCATAGTGGAGAACATAGGCTTCAAATATGTTGAATCAGGAATCCAAGCTATGTATCTGAAAAGTCAGATATGCAACGTACCTATTTACACAGAGCGCTATTTTATGCGACAGTGACAGAAATATTTGGTCGCACAGTGCAATCCACAGAGCGCAACAACAGCCGTGTGTTTTTTTAGGCTATGGTCACCTCACTCATGGTGGCCATTCATCTAGCTTTGCTCTTATTGGTAAATCTCTACCTTTTTCATTTATTCATTTAATAACAATTTATCTTGATGTAATGGTTGTACTTAAAACAGTAAATAAACCTGGCCTACTATAAAGAACATAATAGGTTCTATTTTTTCATCTGCTGTTGCATGCCACTACTGCACTCTCGTGTAAATAGGCCTTTATTCTACATTGCCATATAAATATAAAGTTTTTACAAGTTTTTAGTGGAATCGTTTAGCACTTACCTTTTCAGAATTGTTCCGTATGTTTGAATAATATAGAATCTAACTCAAGATTTCTCTTCCTAATCAAAATTTATATATCAAAGATTAGAACGTTTAATGCTAGTCGTGACAAGGAAATTAAATTAGTGATGTAAGTTCAGGTGCATTAAGTAATTTAACACACTTTATTCTGTTCATGTTCAGCAGTGTGTGCATATAATTTTTCTGCATGAGTTGCCAACAAACAATAGTAGCAATAGTATATTTTTCTGTTCACCTGTGTCATACATGTTGTTGCTCTTAATTCTTTACATTGCTATATAACTCAAACCCTTGAAATATTCTACATATTGGCCAAGTGGTTAAGTCAAGGGCACCAGAACCTTCATCTCTAATATCGACACTAGTTCAAACAGCTCACTCGCTAATGGTTCTGGTGGTGGAACAATTCTTTTCGCATAAGGACTGTAGGCCCAGTGTACATATTTGGGATGTATACACTTTATATTACCCAGTAAATCCTTCGAGCAGAATAGGGGTTTACCCCCGCGTACTGGTCCATTCAGTCCCTTGTTGATTAATTGATATGCCATGAAGGATAGTGATTAAGTTCGCTTTTTGGCATATCCTTGGCACTCGTGAAATGAAATGAAAAAAAAAATTGTCAATCAAGCAGAAGAGAAAGTTTTTAAAAGTTTTTTTTTTAAATTAATTTTTTTTATATCCCTAACCAATTAGTTTTTTGTAAGAATGTTACTGAAATTAATTTTCTTTATTTTTGTTAAGTTTTAAATTTTGATATTAAATGGATGAACCACAACTTGTGTGTGCCACTGTTGTTAAAGTGAGAACAAATATAATTTTATAAATATCTATCTATCCATCCAGTGATATACTGAAAGGGGTTTCAAAACTATACAATACTTTGTTGTTTGAATTATTCTTGGCGATAAGCCAAGTCAATACTTTATGTTCATTTCTGAGCCGTTATTTGAGCTATTATCCCACTTTGCCTTTCCTTGAACAACACAAAATAATACTGCTATGTAGGTATTAAAACTTGATGTTTTGATGTAGAAAATGATGATGAATGATGTTTTGATGTAGAAAAGTATACTAATGATCTTTGCTTTAGTCTGTTATTTATTTTAATTCTTTACAGTTTAGGCATAGATATACAATACTGTACAATCCAGAAAAGTATTTAAACACCATACATTAAGTTACAGACAGAAGCAAGAGGAAGTAAATGTAGTTATATTCGAATAAACAATTTCTGAAATATACTTGTATAATACTATGATTTAATTATACAGTAATAACATATTGAAAATAAATAAAAATAAAAGATTATTAGATCAAAAGTGTTGGCAACCATATGATTACATATCACTGTGTATTACTCCATCAAGTTAAATTTAAGATACATACATTAATGTTAAAACACTTGATTATATATTATATTTATAGGGCATTGGTTTTGACATTGTACATTTATACAAATGCTATCTCACTTTTAGAGGAAAAATTGGAACGAAAGTATGAGCATGGTTTTAACCTGAAAAAGTCCCCCCCCCACCACTTTTCTTTAGTTTGCAAAATTAATCTTGAAGATTTAAAACTTAAATAGACAATTAAAAAACACTTACAATAAATAGGTTATAGTTTTTAGACTGACTTCTCTTTGATGATAATGATAGCGTGTCAGTAACTATATTATTGTATGGTAGCATGGTTAAATTTCTGCTGACAGTAATCAAAACAATACTGAATATGGTCAATAAGATTTTGTGAATGCATTCCATTGGTAGAAGCCATGTAATGGAGAAACAATTATTTACTTTATGGTTGCTGATATTACATATTCAATTATAGGTCTATACTCATACTATATTACTTAATATACATTTACTATATATAACAACTTGATAACAATTATCTTGTTTATACCTTCATTATGACCTATGGTCATATTTGTGACACAATCCTCTGTCAGACTGATGGTACGTAACTGAAATTAGTGTACCTAATTTGGTGATTAAGATCAAACATAATCAATAACATTAGATTGCTGCTTAAAATTAGAATGTAGATAGAAAACTTCCTTCATTCTGCATTCAGTCTGTATGATGACATTGTTTTTGTACTAGGTTTCCGAATGACTTCATTTGCACTTTGATTGAACTTATTCTATAGCATTTTTCATTGGAATCACTTCATGTTTGCTTTCATGACAATGAAGAACATGTTTACAATCATCACATGCTGATTTCTTGCAATCTAAGCAGTAAAATTCCAATATGTTTTTGCAATGAGTTGGGCATTTGTTTTGTTCCTCTTTGCTAGCAGACATCTATGAACAAACACAGAATGGTGATATTAGTTTCATTGATGGATTTTGTGGGTGGGGGGTGTGGAGGCTGGGCCAACCGCATGCCCTCTTTGGAAAGTTATAAAAAAAGAAAGAAGTAAAAAGAAATGCCTCAGGTTTTATTTTCTGGCATCTGGAAAACAAAAAATTTCACTCAAGAATGCTCCTAGGGTAGTGTTGTCTTGATCGACCCCACTTCGGGCCCCCCCCCCCCC